TTTAAATGTCCAACATAAGAGAAATGTCACTGTGTGAAGTGACAGGAAGACACCTCATCCACATACCCTGATACATGCATACCTCTACTAAAAACACACATGGACTCTCAGAGGTGAATCTCCAACGCACTCTGGAGATCCAGGGCATGCTTATTTATTAAATAAAATCCTTTGTTACACCTTCATGCTGAACATAAATGTCATTCTAGTTAATAAAGTACTAGCAGCAAAAGTTTCTAAAGAAGAAAATAACCAAATTTCTGCACTTTTGCCAAGTCTTCTAAAGGTCCTCCTGATGCACCACATAACAATCACTGTGAAATAACTGCTGCTCCTTCCTGAAGCACATTTCAAGACATTCTGAAGTCAGCTGCACTCAAATATTAAACACTAAGGAGATTCAAAGTGCAATACTTCAAGGTGTGCCCTCTCCCCATCTGTACTGCTTGCAAGACTTGGTGCAGACTGGGCACTTGGTATTTTCAGCCTTTTAACAAAATCACATCACAACACTTGAATGAGTCAGGCAGATACTCAGGCAGATAAGAAAACTTATTTGTGCTTCTTATGACAAGTCTTCTTCCACTCAGTCTGTACAAATGTGCTATATTTAAGAATATACTAGAAATATATAAGAAAAGAATGGGGTAGGAAAAGGAAATATGAGAATTTATATGTATGAAAGAGGAATTATATTTATAGGAAAGATTAGATAGCAGCAGATCTTTACATCCTATACTCTGCAGAGAAACCTGCCACCATTCTTACCACTTGAAAATGGGCAGCTAGCATGCAGCGAGCCTGAGGCTAAAAGCACAACACCCATGCAAGACACAAATTGAATCACAAGAGAATACTGTCTCTGTGTGTATAATGTGGATTCCTCTGCATAAATACACATGCAGCGTTCAGGTCTTCCTCCTTTTCCAGATAAGCAGGAAGGAAAGGAAGAACAAAACTCACAGTATCTCATCTTGAGGCATGTGAAAGAAGAAACAGACTTCAATATGACAACTGTTTATTCTGCATCTACTGCAGCCTTGGAAGAAAAACTTCAGATTTACTCTATCCTGCAGTTGTAACTGATATATTCTGGAGAAAGAGGAAGCAACTCTTCTACCACCAATTGCTTTCTGACCTAGCTAGATCATCAGACAAAAAAAAAAAAAAGAGTAAAATCTTTACAACATCTCAGTACTTTTAAAGCTTCCTTTACCCCTTCATCTTGGTGGGTGGGTGTTAAAGTCACACAACAGTAATTCCACACAAATTCTTGTAAATATTACAGCCCCCCCCACCCCCCAAAAAAAAAATTAAATAACTGCACAGCTTGAAAAATTAGCTTTTCTTAATGACAGTTTACAAATAAATGGTGAGGGGCAGAAATTTCATTTCTAGGAAATTAGTGAAAAAAGATTATACATTTTATTCAGCCTATGCATATGACTGCCACTGCCTCAATTACCATGAACACAAAAGTAATGGCTGATGATGAAGAGCATTTATAGATGGCAGTAAATAAATGCACGAAACATTCTAGTGAGTATTTATTCCCTGGAATATTATTAATTATGCAGCAAAAGAATACAGAAGTATTTTTCTAAGCAGTACAGACACACACACATCATGACCATGACAATACAAGGAAAGCTATGGCCAGATTCTTTACAGAAAACACCACGCACTCATGCAACACAAATGAATGCACAAATACACAATGCAATGAAAACTACTGTCTACAAATAAGCTTGTGGCATGCACTTGTGTCTAAGCAGTTCTATATACAGATAATTTGGTCATTAGGTTTGCATAGCTGTTCTCCTCTCTTTCTCCTGGATGAAGCAAAAACTAGAAAGTAACAGCTCACCACCTAATCCAACACTTTTCAAACTTCCTTGCACCATCTGATTCTGCAATCCCATTCCAATCTACATTGTCTTTCATACTGGAATCTCCTCTGAACTATAGTTTCCAGGCAGGCAATTTTAAAGTATTTTTATGAGTCATGCAAACATTCTCTTGCAGGACAACAAGCTATAATGAAAGTGTCCATATTTATAATAACTTAGAACTGACAACAAATTCTTAAGGGTGAAACTGGTTCATTGACATATATTTCTGTAGATGCTTTAAGTAGCGACTTAGAAATGTGCATTATTCCCCTGCTTGAAAAATGTAACATCTATCTTTTAAAAGAAGTCAACTACTTTCCCATTAAAAACAAACATCTTATGAATTTTGAATAATAATTACACAATGTATTTTATTCTAGATCAGCAAAATCGTAAAGTTGTTGTCAAAACAGACCAAACAGTATTCTGTATTCTAAAAATTCACCCTAATTTCTGCTTTGTCCTTAAAAAAAAATGTTCACTCAGAAATATGACCCAAGTAAAACACTACAGCAGTGAAAAACAAGTATACGTTCACTCATTCAAATCCATACATGGCATGAGTCAAATGAAACACAATTTCCAATATTTCAACACTTACTGCTTCACTATCATTATAACTCTTTTGAAAAATTGACATATCAGGTCATGAATATATATCTAAGGACAGAAAGAATACTTTTATATTTTCACATTATTAATGTTTCTGCATGTTTTTTCATGCATGTAAACCCTGAAGAAGTAACAATGTAATCCAGGTGCAGAGTGCATCTACAGCCCTACAACATTAAGTGATGCAGCTATTTACTAATATAATTTATATATATAATTTTATTATTATAATTTATTTTTATAATAAACGATGATCCTAGGCTTTATAGTTTCTATTCTAAATATTTTTCCTTTCGAAATTACAGAATCTTTACTGGCCTGCTGCCAACATCCCTAATACATTCCCTCAAGTATTGTTAGAAAACTCACTATCTTTTTAAAAACTGAGTCCTATGGTAAATAATAAACAGTACATTTAATCAGATACAAACTCAAAATAATATATCTTGGACTTACTGATCCAAACAATCCAGAATGCTAAAAACAAATTATCAACTTTCAAACACTTCAGATATATTAAACATCGACTTTATTTTTCAAATATTTTATAACACCTATTAACATGCTACATATTAACCCACATAGACACCACAAACCTACCACTTCTCAGTACCTAGCATTTAAAAAAGATAACTCTCATTGCTTAACTGCATTTTCATCAAGCCAGCTAAATTTAACCTCAATTTATTCAGTATGTTATTAAAAATGAATACTATTAGTTTTTTTCTAAAAAGAGCTTTTGAACTTGTGAGTAGGAACAGCCAGCTACAGTACAGCACCCACTGCAAAAAGGAAAGATATCACAGATAAAGAAAGTAGAACACAGAAAAGTACACAATTCAACTTTAGACATTTAAACAGAAAACTTAAAGTTGCTCTAGTTTTTTTTAAACTTCCCTAAGAGTACAAACAAAGACATCATGTGATGATTGATACAAAAAAAAAAAAAAAAAAAAAAAAAGAGATAAGAGGGTATTAATTTTTCTTTCCAGTTTTTCTGTGACCATATGAATAATTCTATTAGATTCACTAATAGGTAAGTGGTAGCTTAGAAGAAATAGCTTTCTTAACAGCACAAAATGTTAATTTAAGGCATCAGAAAAATAATGCATATGAAACTCAGCAAATATCCAGTTTTTAAAGTACCTGAGAGCTGCAGAACAGCATTTCTTGCAAATGGATAGAAAACATTTCACAGAGAATCAGTTTATAGCATTCACTTGCAGCCTACTCTGGAAAAGTTAACCTTTTGAACCATTCTTAGAGTATGCTGACCCCTAAAGGTCTAAAAATACTAAATCTGACTAAGCCATAATACACTGAAAGCATAAATTCTCAGAATACATTCTCCATTAAGTTAACAGACCATGATTATTGCTTTTTTCAGTGCATTTGATCCTAGAACGTTTTCAATTTATCTCAATAATAGCCCGAAATATCATTATTAAATTGGGTCTACAAGTAGTTTGTCATACACAATATAGAAAGGAATTCCTGTAAATATTAAGAAAGGTATAATCTCCAAGAAGAAGCGTTTCTACTCTGTTCCAAACATCAGACTCTCCTTATGGAAACACTCGTCACTTACTGTGGCTTCTGAAAGAAAACATACAATAACATTCCAAAAAAGAAATACACAAAATACTATCTGTCTCCCATACAGGAGGCATCTTTGATGTAACACACCTGTTCCATATTTTTTCAATCTACATAAAGCCACCTCCTGGAAAAAATCCACCCTTCTATGATGTACTGAATGTCTCCTTCCTGTGTGTATGCTTTCTTCAGTCTTTTTATATTCTTATCTAGATACAGGTCACTTTCTGACACTTCTGCAAAGTCAGTCATGTAGCATCCTCTCAAACTCAGCCTTTGTAAAACTTTCTCTCACAAAGCATAGAAAAAATATCTGAGAGCAACACCGTGGTCATCCAAATACAAAAATATCCTTCTGTCCTGATGAAATTTAAAACTCTATGAACCACGGAAGTGGTGAAGTTCCTTCCAAACAAACAAATCAAAGCCCTCTCAACCTCATTACTGCCTATATGTGGTTGAGGTAGTAGTAAGAAATTACTAAATATTAGTGGATGTCTTAACTGTACTTTAGCCAGGTGTGAATAGACAAGAAAGTTAGAGATAGCCTTCATGTTTGTTGTTTACTTCCCTACATTTTTAGTAAGTACAATATATAGGCTAAGAATTAAAATTATACTTCTCAGAATTTTAATAAAGTAGTTTCATAACTCATAAAGTTAAGTTGATAAACGACATTTGTTACTTTGCATGTACATATACAGAAGTCTGGGAAGAATTGTATTTGTAGTTGCTCTCCTGTTAACCCAAACACTTTTAAGAGGCGGTGTATTTTTTTCTTTCCTTTTTTTCTTTACTTCCAAAGTCAGCTATGTATCGGCAAGAACAAATACATTCCAGTCACTGCCTAGCACTGGTAAAACACCTGAGGTTCCTTATTAATATCTTAGAAGTCCTTACCTTCAGACAAGTTCTCCATTTGTTCTTCTCAAGTTGTTTGATCTGGCACTAGCTCCAGTTTTTCCTCCAACATTTCAGAGCTAAAATAAAGCAAACTCTAGATAAATAAACTTGAAACAATACATTATAACACATCTATACTTTGCTTTCATTTGACATAAAATTTAAAGACAAATGATTTTAGGATATTTATAATAGCACAATAAAGTCCACATACTCTAAAAGTGAGAATTTATTTTTCTCGGTAAAATTTTTTTTTTCTTCATGTATCTATTTTTTTCTATTAATTTGCTTTAGCTTTCTACTGTATGCAATGCCTTCATGACAAAATTTATGTTTGTCTTCTTGTTCTAGAGTCTGGTCTTGGAAGGACATGCTACTGAGCAACAGCACAAACCACACTTGAGGCAATGAGATTTTGGCACTTATTACAGATGGCAGAACGTGCTTCAATTCTTTCACCTGTTTGAATTTCCTGGATAAAACAGAGGTGAAGTAGTCCTTGACTATTGCACCTCTGAATTTGCAGACTTTTTAAAACAGCTAAATAATTTAACCCATCATACTATGGGCTACATGTTGCTTCAGACTATACAGTTAATAATATCATTGCGAAAGATAATCCCTGTCATTCCAAAAAAAAGCGCTTCAATATAAAGTTAGACTTACTACGTAACATTTTTATGTTAAAATATATGTTCTCTTATAGGATAAAAATCAAATTATATTACATATTTCATGAAAATATAAATAAATCAGTAAATTTGTAATCTTATTAATATAGTAACAATTTTATTATTTGCTCAAGCATCTCCTTTAGAATGTATTATACAAAGAATAATTTTTCATCTTTCACTGCATCATGTTTATTTTGTCTTCTCATGAATTTTTTTCTTAAATTTATTACAAGATAGAACACATTACTTGAAGAAGCAGTGACTCAATCATGAAAATACAATTGTCATTGGGCTGATAATAATTAAAACAACAACAATAAAATTAAGAAAGTATTTGAAAATTCAAGTGAGTTTCACCAGGACATAAATTTTTTTACAAATACTGCAGAAGGAGAAAGTGGGGTTTTTTATTGTTGTTTTTTGTTTTAGATTATACACAAAATAGATGTTTTCATTTTATCTTTCAGATAATTTAAAAAAGTATAATACTCCTGCAAACACTTATGATTCAAGACTAACACATACTCAAGAAATACATATCTAGCTCATATTGCGTCTATTTATAATTAATAACAAATAAGAACTTGTTGATTTGATGTGCTTAGGTCCTAACAAAAAAAAAAAAAGACTTCACTCTAAATTGCAGAACTCCAAGCTCCTTACAGAAGTTCCTCAAATGAAGCTGTACACTTCTTTTTCAATTCTGTATAACTGTGTTGATTTGGAGTTGTCAATCTTTTCCTAAGTTCCTCATTTACTTTTGGATTAGCTTAAAATTTAGAAGGTTATTAATATCAAGCAGTAGGTTTCTGTCAATGAAGCCATTTCCTGACATATTGCACAAAAAGGTTCATAATAATTGCAGTATTTTAATAAGATAGTCATATAGCAAGACATGAAGAAAATACGGTATTTAATAACCTCTGGAGTATTTTAAAACATGTCTTAGGGCCTTAATGTGCCTAGTAATATACTATTTAAAACCATAATTTTATCCCTCCACAATATACAGTCATTCTTCCTCGCCATTTACCCAGCTAATGAATGCCAGCAATTAGTAAAATGTAATCCCATTGCACAATCATTTTAATGCTTTTAGCACTCAGAAAAGTAAACACCAAATTAATACTGCTCAAGCCATATCAGATCCTAGTTGGAAGCAAGCAATTATAGTTCAGCTCCTCAGGTGTAATTAAATGATTGGAATGATTTAGTTCCATAAATGCAAGTTAATTCATAAGCAAGCAACAAATATACTGGGAGTAATTACAAGAAACATTGACAGTCTGAGCAGGGCATGTTCTTTCAAGGACCTGATGTAGGAAAATGCTGCCCTCTCCTGGAAATTATGGATATGAAATGCATATTAGAGAAAGAAGTCGGGAGTCTTTAAGATATTCAGTCTTCAATAGCAGAAATATGTTCTGCTAACTAATGGGAATGAATTGTTTTTAAGTCAGAGAGAATAAAAATATTTTTGATACCATACTAATGTAACCTTTTGATTAAAGAGAAACAAAGACCTTTTGCCACTCCCTATGGTTCTCAGTATAATTTCCCTACTATTAGAAAGAAATTGATGTTAAAAACAAGAACAAACTTTCAGTACACAAAGTAAACTGGTTGTTCTGAATACTGACACTCCAACGCGTATCTAACTTACACACAACACTCAAGTATCATTCAAGATAAAGCTTTATAAAGCGTATTTCAAAAGGTCAGGTATCTTTAGAACCCAAACTTACAAAACATTATTGAATCCTAGAATTATGTGAGTTGGAAGGGATGCTTAAAGGCCATCTAGTCCAAATCCCTGCAATGAACAGGGACACAAACAGCTCGATGAGGATGCCCAGAGCCTCTTCCAGCCTGAGCTTGAATGTCTCCAGGGACGGGGCTTCCACCTCTGGGCAACCTGTTCCACTGCCTATCATAAAAATACCTTTTACCTTATGTCCAGTCTAAATCTCCCCTCATTTAGTTTGAAATCATTTCTCCCTGTCCTATCACAACAGACCGCACTAAAGAGTCTGTCCCCTTGTATCCCATAGTGAGTGCCCTGTTGGATTCTGAAAGGCTGCTCCCCGTTCTCTCTCAGCGGAGCCTTTTATTATTCAGTGTTAACCTTCAAGCCAACAACAATCAGCAGCTGGCTACAACTGTGAAGGTTTTCTCAGCAAAAATCGTCATCATTAATTAAAATAAATAAAATTCACTTATTTTCAGGCTTTTCTTCACTTTCATTTGAATACAGTGTTACTGATTTATCTAATAATAAAAAGAAATTAAAAGTGGAGATTATAATAAAGTATATCACTGTACCCAAACAAAATGGAAAATACAAAAAGGAACTGTAACCCCAAATCTAGAGTTAATTTTAGCTACTAACTTCCTTCAGTTCAACCTCTGTTAGTTAAAACACTCCTTCATCAAGCAAAGAAACCTAAGATACTTATCTGTTGAATATGAAAGGCACTGATCAAGTAAAATTCACTCTAAATAATTAAGTACAAAACTATTTACATATATGAATATAAATTAACCAATATCTTTCCACTCAATAGAAGAAATCCTAGATCTACCTATTTTGTCCCCTACAGAAATAACAAATGCTTTTCCAGCACAGCACACAGCAGTACGTGAGAAAAATCATACTGTGGTCAGAATCCATTTTCCACAAACACAAATGAAAAAAAGTAAAAAAGCTTTTTTCAAAAAGGTACAATCAATGTTAAGGCCTGAAATTCTGTACCAGTAGCACTTCAGCATCAAAATATGCCTTTGTTTCACATCTTTGTTTATTTCAAAAGAAACCAAAGCTGAACACAAATATCATCACTGCTACTATATCTACAGTGGAAATGAAATAAATCAGTTTAAGAAGCGATATTATTAAAAGTTTAAAATGTATAGCACATTTGCTTTGCCCTTTTGTGTCACAGTCCTATTTTTCTATTCAAATCTTGTACACTGTAAGTTAATTGCTTTTGGAAACTACTTATTATTCATGTAAAAATTAATGTGCCAATGTGTTTAAATCCTTTTAAATGACCATTCATGCATCTTTCTTCTTTAAGTGCCAATGAAATCTGTCAAAGATATCAATGCAAGATGGTCTTAGAGAAAGTTCTAATAAAGATTTTTTCTGCTAACATAAGATTTTCATTTTCGTCAACTTTACTTAAATTCCATTAATTTTTTAAGCTGCTTTTAATAAATTCACAAGTAAAAAATTTTAGGCTCCATAGTCCATCATTTGTGTTCCAGCTGACTTTATGAATATTAATAGCAGTGTTATCCTGATTAAATAGGCTTCATATAAAATCCCTGTGAATCCTATAGCTCAGACATCTCATTTTTCCAACTCTTTATGAATTTGGATTCAGACATTAAAGTGGAAAAAAAACTTAAAAACCAGATTCAATAGTACATTTGTGTACCCTTAGGCAAAAAAACCCCAACCCTTATGTTCTAATGAGTCAAATAATTAGAATTGATAGGTTCGCATATTGAAATTTCATGCTTTCAATAAACATGCAACACATTTTAAGTTTAATGAAAACATCAACACATCTCAGACCAAAGGATGAAGCATCTAATAAAAAATGATAATGTCTATCTTTATCTTAAAAAACAGATGACATCACCTTAACTCTTCATATTGGAGTGCTAATTTGCAGAAATATTTTCCAAAGAGAAAGAAATCAGCACATGCCTAATTACATGAGCATGCATATGAAATAGATGAGCATTCTCATTTAGTGTAGGTGCCCGGTGAAAAACAGCATTAACTTCTAACAAGGGTACACTTGAGCAAAACCAACCTTTTCTAAAGAATGCTGAACTGAAATTCAAAGGAAACGTTAACGTGATCCAACAAGGTCAAGCAGTCACACTTGCAAACTCCCAACTTCTTTTCATACTTACATGTTTGAATTCACATCTGTGAGAAACAAACAAGGAAAACTAAGCTAACTTCACTGTCTTTACTTTTTTTTTTCTTTTTTAATACACTAATGCTAAAATTACTACTTCCTCATTCATTCAGCGATATTTTCTGAAAAGATGGCAATCAAAATATTTCAGCTTTCATTATATTGCAATGTGAACGAATTTTACAAGAAAAAAAAAGCTAAATAAAATGACTTAGAGGGAGAGTATTCCAATACTCATCATCAAAAACACTTAGCAGAAATTAAAAACAAAAGGTATAGAAAAACAACAAATCTACAAAGTTTGAAGCATTCATGTTTTACTTTTGCAGTTCTGAGTAGTCTTTATTACAGCTGTGGAGGTAATCCCACTTTCAGAGGAAAGAGCTTCTGCACCATACAGACAACACAAGTGAATACCATACAAAATCGCAAACTTTCAGCAACCTGACCTCTCTAGACACTGAGATC